CTCCTCGGGGATGGAGTAGTGGAGCTGGCCGCTCCCTGCCTCCCAGGTTGCAAGCAGCAGAAGCCAGAGCAGCAGACACTGCCTGACGTCTGGGCCCCCTCTCAAAGAAGGCATCACCTCTAGTCCTCCGTGAGTTGGTCAAATTAAATGATCATGTTTAAAAGCAATGAAATAGTCTAACACCTGCTAAATCCCGCTGCTTCTCCTGTCGTTTTATCTGGAGTAACAAAGAGACTCTGGGTATTTGCCTTCTTAGAGAACATTCTCTGGTGGACAGCGACACCCAGTGGCTAATCTGATTCGAACTTTACCGTATTAACTGTAAATGAAAAGTTTACCGTATTAACTTCAAATGCAAACTTCAGTAGTGCTAAGTATATTCACAGTGTTGAAAACTTTCTTCTTGTAAAGCTGAAAAGTTATATATATTAGACATCAATTCCAGTTTCCCCGTCTTCGCCCATGGTAACTACCATTCTACTTCTGTTTTCTGTAAGTTTCACCACAGTGTAAGTAAAATCATACAGGATTTGTAAGGGTTTGCTGCTCTGGGGTTGAGTTCTTTGTTTTGCTGTGTTTTGAGACTTGCTTTTCCAACTAACCATAATGTTTAGAAGGCTCATCGGTGTTGTAGCATGTTACAGGATTTCTTTTTTTATTGCTGAATGATTCTATTGTGTATATACGTTGCATTTTGTGAGTCCATTCAACCATCCATGAGCAATTGAATTCCTCTGGCTCTTGGTTCTTGTAAATAGAGCTGATACCGATGCAAATGTACAAATATCTCTTGGAGATCTTGTTTTCAGTTCTTTTGTAATTTTTTAGCACTTCTTCAGAGCAAGCACACCGAAATCAAAGGGTACTTTTGTTCAATGAAAATATGCTTGAATACACTCCTGATATTTATAATCTTGAGTTTTGAATTGTTTGTGGGTTACATTAGCTTGTTATATGAGAAATATATTTTATTTTAGGATTACTATCTTTCTTTTATATTTGAATTTTCATGCAAGAAGAATAAACTGATTTCGTTTCAGTGTTAGTTACATGAAAGTATCTTTTATTTATTAATTTTTACCTAGTTCCTTCACATGTAAAAATATTAAACTTAAATAAAGGTGGTATTGGGATCATTTAAAATGAATGGAGGAATGTGTCAGTTAGCAAAGTTCATATCAAGTTACATACTTGCTACTTTATGTATGTCAAAAAAAACCCGCTTTTATTTTTCTTAGAAGAAAACAAAATGAACTTCAAAATTTACAGTGTCCATTTAAAACAGCATTGACGGATAGATTTTCCTGGATCTAGAAGCTTTAATAACTTTTCTTTGAGCTGGGTGTAGTGGTGCACACCTCCAATCCCAGCATTCGGGAGGCAAAGGCAGATAGATCTTTGAGTTTGTGTCCAGTCTGGGCTACAAAGAGAGTTCCAGGACAGACAAGACTAAATAGAAAAGCACTATCTTGAAATAATAATATTAATAACTTTTTCTTGAGTCCAGTGTCTTGAAGTTATTCCACTTATTCACTCTTGCAGCAAAATAAATACAACTGGAGATAACCAAAGACAAAGTATATTCAGAGAGAAAAATATCCCATGTGTTCTTTTAATCATGGTTTTTAGATTTTTATATAGCTAGTTAGATAAAATCAGATATAAATGCACATATATGTAATATATAACATAAATACATACATATATACATTATATATATACATATATATATGATGAAAGTAGAGACAAGCCGTGTAAAGGAACAAAGGGGCCTAGTGGAATAAGCATTTTATTAAAATGTTGTGAAAGAAGAAAAAAACTATTGAAATATTCTGAGGGACAAGAACAACAGCAATCAATGGAAATTCCATTCACATTTATGTTAAATATTAATTCACAACACTACTCCATATTTCAGTCTTCCTTTCATTCTATAATAGCATCCCATAAACTACAGCCACTTTCCAAACTTTGCAGTTCTAAACCCATGCCTTTTTATAATAGTGACTAATATTTGAGATTCACCCCCGAGTTAATAGAATGAGCTATTCTAGAAAACTTTTACACTTTCTAAGAATCATTACGGCACAGAAAGAATAGCTGCTCTGATCTTTTATCTACAATGTAATTATCTCAAGTGTTGTGACCACAATGTAGTCATATGAAGGCCTATCCAAACACATTAAGGTCATTTGTTTGGGGTTTATTATTGTTATTATTGGGTTTTGTTTCTTCATTTGGTTGTTAAGGCAGTGTCGCTTACAGCTCAGGCTAGCCTCAAACTTGGTCTGTAGCAGAGATTGGCCTTTAAATTCAGACCCTTGCTGGTGCACACCTTTAATCCCAGCGCTTGGGAGGCAGAGGCAGGTGGATCTCTATGAGTTCGAGGCCAGACTGGTCTACAAGAGTTAGTTCCAGGACAGGGTCCAGAGCTGCCCTATCTCAATAAAACCAGGACAAAAAAAAATTCAGATTCTCATGCCTCCATCACCCAAGGACATGTATGTGCCACCAGACTGGGTTCTTCCAGACAAATTTGAAAAGTTATTGGTATTATCAAAAGATGATGGGTTCTATTTCTAATTTTATGATTAATATTTAAGTAAAGCACTCTGATATAACTATATTTTTCATCTAAACTAATTCCTTTATTCAATTTTATTTTACATATGTAGGTGTCTTGCCTGTATGTATATTTGTGCATCACAGACATGCTTAGCACCCACAATCTAGAAGAGGACATCAGTCCTTCTGGAACCAGAGTTACAAATGATTTTGAACCACCATGTAGGCTCTGGGATTCAAACCTGGGTCATCTGGAAGAGCAGCAAGAGCTCTTAACCACTCATCCGTCTCTCCAGCTCACAAATCTAGATAAACTTTCTCATATAATGAGTTAAGTCATTGTAGCCTCAAATGCCAACCAATTCAAGTTTTTCTGACTTAAATAAAGGACAATATTATTTATCTTCTGTAGAAGAAGTGGCGGGCTGCTTTTCGTCCCGCCCGGCTCCCCGCCGCCCAGTTAACTTTACCCGAAATAATTACACGGAAACTGTATTCATTTAAACACTGCCTGACCTGTTATCTGTGGCCTCTTATTGGCTAACTCTTACATATTGATTTATTAACCCATTTCTAATAATGTGTGTATCACCACCACAAGGTCATGGCTTACCTTGAAAGATCCTAACCTACATCCGTCTGGGGTCGGAGATTCAGGGCATCTGCCTGACTCTGTGTCTTTCTCCCAGCATTCTGTTCTGTCTACTCCACCCACCTACGTTCTGACCTATCAGGTCAAGCAGTTTCTTTATTAACCAATGAAAGTAACACAGAGACAGATGACACTCCTACATCAATCTTCTACTTACAATTTTTCAGTTTAGCTTCAAAAAATTCTCTCTATCCCTCCCAATTTTTTCCTTTTTTTGAGACAGGATTTTTCTGTGTAGCCCTGGAAAGTCTGGAGCTTGCATTGCAAACCAGGGTGGCCTCCAACTCAGAGATCCATCACCTCTGCCTCCCAAGTACTGGGATTAAAGGTGTGCACCACCACGTCTGGTTATTTTCTTGTTTGTTTTGTTTGTCTGTTCTTTGGGACAAGGTTTCTTTGTATAGCTCTGGCCATCCTGGAACTCACTTTGTAGGCCAGTCTGGCCTCAAACTCAGAGATTCACCTGCCTCTGCCTCTAAAGTTCTGGGATTAATGGTGTGTGGCACCACCTCTTGGCTTTTTTTTAACATTTTAATTTCCATTTTCAGAATATTTTCCATAAACTTACTTTAGTTTTACACTTAAGTTGCTGTCCCGAGAATCCCAAGTTTCTGAAAATGATTTGCATAAAGAAGGAATGGTCCCCTTTGTATCACTTTCTTTCTAGAGAATTGGTTAAGCATGATCAGCATCACCTTTCTTTATTTTTTTAAGTCACACATAGGATGATGTTTTCTTTCATGGGTGTGATGGTTTGACAGTGAAAACTGAAAGGGTTCATAACACCAAATTCAACATGTTTTATAACTCAATTGTTACTGTAAACAGTAAAAAATGTTTCTTGAATATATACTCTGTGTTCTGTGTGTTTTGGGTTCTATTGCAGGACTCTTCATATTATACGCTGTCAACATGTTCTTTTTTTTTTTTAACATGTTCTTGAGTGAATGGTGGTAAATACTGAATGTCTCTCTCCAACCAATATTCACATAGCTAGTGAATAGAGCTATGGAGACATACTAAGGTATGATTTCTGAATCTATTCTCTCCAATTATGTAATCCTTCAGGTTTATCTCACATTTAGAGAAAATTGAAAGTATTTTTAGCGTTATTATTCCAAAAATTATTTTGTGGTTATTCTTGCCCAATGACTTAGTATAATAATATTAATATTTAGAAAGTTGCAGGCACATGCTTTGGCCTATGTCTTTCAATGCTCTAAACAATACTCTGTCAACTTTCACCCCAATCTCAAAAAGCTTAGCTATCATATTGTAGAATGTTTTACAAGTGTTTTTTGAAGTTTTAATATAATTATATTATTTCCTCTTTTCTTTCCTCTCTCCAAGCTCTTTTATGTATTCTCCCTTGCTCTTCAAATTTGGCTTCTTTTTCTTTGTTTATACACACACACATATGTGTGTATATACACACATATATATTATACAGATTGAGCATGTGGTATTTAGGTATACCTGATATATAGCAGGTATGTTAGACATATATATATGTATATATACATATATATATACATACACATCAGGTGTACTATAATACAGGTATACATACATACATACACACACAGGCATATATATCAGGTGTACCTAATAACTACATGCTCAGTCTGTATAATGTTACTTGTGTATATGTTTTTAGGGCTGAGCATGTGGTATTGGGTAACTAGTTGATGTGCTCTTCCTTGGGAAAGACTATATCTCCTGCTCGTAGTATTCCTTAGTTGCCCATCGTTCTTGTCTAGGGTTGTGACCTGTTGAGCTTCCTTCCTTTCAGGTTAGCACATCTATTGGTGCCGTCCTTTTACAAGGGGAGCTTTAAGGGTCTTTTCTGTGTGTTCATTTGAATGTTTAGCCAACAAGGTGCATTCACTTAATACTTGTGTAACTTCAGAAGAAATAAAACATTGTAGCAGAGGCTGTGGAGATGGCCCAGTGGGTGAAGTATGCTGTGCAAGCCTTAGGGCCTGAGTTCAGGTCCCCAGCATCTGCATGCCCAGCCAGTCTAGAAAAACAATGAACTACCTGAACCAAAAAAAAAGGGTACAGAGTGATTGAGGAAGATACCTAACATTAGTTACTGACCTCCACATCTGCGTGCACAGGAGAGCACATACACGTAGACACATGTACCCCCCCCCCCAGATTTAACAAACTATTGACTAAGTGATTAGAAAAGTCATAGAGACCTGTATCTAAAGTGTATCAACTGGTTGTTAAAACTTCTGTAATATACTGCATGTAATAAAATGTTACTCATTATTGATCAACATAATGATTATGAATCAAATTCGAAGAGATCTTTATTCCTCTTCTGAACAACTGGTGTAAAGAATTTTCTTTTCTTTCTTTTTATATCAACATTCATTTCTAGAAAAGGATCATCAGGGATTTGTACGTAGTTCAGTTTTGTTTGGAAAAAGTTACTCCATCTTTCTCTTGCTTTTTTACTTTGAATTTAAATAGAATTTAATATTGAATACCTGCAAAATTGTCCCATTGAAAACAACTTTAAATATTTAATCAAGTGCAATAGACTGTAATAAATATTATATCATTTTTGAAAAAAAATAGTAATTATCCTGAACTTAATTTTTCTTGGCCTCAACAATTTCATCTGTAAAGGGAAAAAGTTTCACCTAATAAAATAAATATCAGAAGGATTAAAAGAAAAAAAGAAAGTTTGGGGAGACTGGCAATTAAGTGTGAGGTGGTCACTAAGTGTCCTTGACTGGATCATGTAAGACACAAGTTTATGTAATAATTAATCTTTTAAACCAGGGAACAGCACCAGAAACTAGTTGGTTATTTTAATGTGAAAATTAAAGTACTAACAACATACTATAGTTTATATATTTTATATATATAGATAGATAGATATAGATATAGATACATAGTCACAGTGCTGCAAGTCTTTTTATTTGCCCCCTTTGAAATTTAGCAATGTAGAGAGAAAGCAGATGATTTCTGTAACTTTGCCTACAATTATTTCTGCAAAGCAAGACACTTCACAAGAATTGAGAGCCCATGTTAAAGGTGACCAGCACTGTATTTGGCTAGCATTCATGAGGCCCTCAGCTCTATCCCTACCATCAATAGTACCAAAATTAACACTAATAATGCTGAAATGTTTTTAAAGCTTTCTACCATATAAATAAAAGAATACAAAAATTTGCATCTATGTTGCTTCCTAGCTTCAATTATTATGCAACTGCAAATAGAGTATTTGCAAAGCTATGGTTTGTTAAAAGTCATTAAACACCCTGATTACATTTTAAGTATCATTGAAATGATTTAAAAAGTGAAGTTAAATCTAAACAGAATTTGAAATCATAGCTCAAATTTGGACTTACATTTCCAGAAAGATCCGAATTTCCTTCTGGCTGCTCACTTCTTTCCGATATATTCAAACCCGGAGAGAGGCCAGGGCTGAAGGCCATGAGGTCGGTCTTGGGCGGACCCTCTCCAGAGCACACCCTCTGCCGCCTCTGCTGTGAGTATGACCAGCTGCCCACCGCGCTGGAGCACACCAGCACGGGCTTCCCCGGAGCACAGGCTCCATCAGTGGACGTTGCCGAGCAGCGCAGCGCGGTGTACAGCAGTAGCGTGAGCACCAACAGGCTGGACACCGCGCAGATGGCGATGATCAGGTACACGTTGACATCCACCAGCGATGCCTGAGAGCCCACTGCACCGGTTAATACAGGCAAGGAGGCTTTCTGAATCTGTCCGCTTTCCACCAGAGATACCAACACGGTAGCAGTGGCAGTCTGCACCGGCTCGCCATGATCTTTCACCAGCACCAACAGACGCTGTCGTGGAGCATCAGCCTCATCTAGGACACGTGTAGTGCTGACCTCACCCGTGTACAGTCCCACCCGGAACGGGCTGCGTGCGCCACCTGTTGAAGGTTGCAGTTCATAAGACAGCCATGCATTGTAGCCAGAGTCTGCGTCTACTGCGCGCACCTTTGTCACCACATGGCCTGCACCCACTGTCCGGGACACCAGTTCGCTCACTGCGCTGCCCGCCTGAGGTCCCAGCAACGAGGGCGCGTTGTCATTCTCGTCCAGCACAAAAACCTGCAGAGTCACATTGCTACCCAGGGAAGGCACACCAGCATCCCGCGCGCTCACCTGGAACTGCAGCAGCTCCAGCTCCTCATGGTCCAGAGGCTGCAGCGCGAACACCTTGCCGCTCTCCGCGTGCACAGACACGAAGCTTGACAGCAAGCGCTCGCCCACCCGCCTCTCCACCAGCGAGTAGGACACCAGCGCGTTCTCCTGCGCATCTGCGTCCGTGGCTGACACCGTGAAGATGTGGGCGCCAGGCAGGTTGTTCTCCTTCACGAACACCGTGTATTCGGGCTGCGCGAACGTGGGCACGTTGTCGTTCACATCAGCCACCTCCACGGACACGCTGGCTGTGGCCCACAGTGAGGGCGAGCCCCCGTCCCGGGCTGTCACCACCACTCTATAGAGAGGTGTGGTCTCTCGGTCCAAGGTGCTGTCCAGCACGAGCGAATAGTAATTTTTGAAGGTGGACACCAGCTTGAAGGGGACATGAGGAGCCAGGGAGCAGGTCACCTGCCCGTTGGCACCTGAGTCAAGGTCGGACACCTTGATGAGGGCGATGACAGTGCTAATAGGAGCATCCTCTTTGATGGGCAAAGATAAGGACGTGACCTCCAGCTCGGGAGTGTTATCATTTAAATCCAGTACTTTCACCAAAACCTTGCAGTGATTTGACATCGGGGGAGTCCCTTTATCAACTGCTTTTACTTGAATTTCATAAGATTTTATTTTTTCATAATCCAGGTCACCGATCACTCTAATTTCTCCAGAAATAGAATCCACTTTGAATTTTTCTTGAATGTCAGGAGAAACATCATTGCCAAAGGAAAACACAACTTCACCGTTTACGCCTTCATCAGCGTCAGAAGCATTTAATGTGGTCACTAAAGTTCCATTCGCTGTAGATTCTACTAGCTGGGCTCTGTAGACGGCCTGGTCAAACAGGGGGGCATTGTCATTAACGTCGAGCACAGTAATCTGCAGCCGAACTGTCCCCTCCAGTTCTGGCTTGCCCCCATCAGTGGCTGTCAGTAATAACCGAAGTTCTGGTGTTTCTTCTCTATCCAAAGATTTTCTCAGCTCAAGAGAAAGGGATTTACTGAGTTCGTCAGTCGTCTCTACCTTCAAAGAAAAGTAGTCAGTGGGGCTCAGCGTGTAAATTAGAAGAGAATTAGCGCCAATATCTGCGTCCGCCGCGCCCTCTAGTGGAAATCGCGAGCCTGGCTGTCTATTTTCAGGAATAACTATCCTTTGTTCTGAGCCTTTAAAAACCGGTGGGTTATCATTAATATCCTTAACCTTCACATCCACGTGAAAGACCTGCAGCGGCCGGTCCACGATCACCTCCAGGTGGATGCTACACTCCGCGCTCCGCCCGCACAGCGCCTCCCGGTCGATCCGAGAATTCACAAACAAAATACCATTCTGCAGATTTACCTCCAGAAGGTCCCCGCGGTCCTTGGACGCCACCCTGAACAGGCGGGGCACCAGTTCCGCTAGCTCCAGCCCCAGGTCCTGAGCGATGCGGCCCACGAAGGTTCCGTGTTTGGCCTCCTCGGGGACGGAGTAGTGGAGCTGGCCACTCCCTGCCTCCCAGGCTGCGAGGAGCAGAAGCGAGAGCAACAGCAAGCGCAGGGCTCTCAGGCCTCCGAGCCTGGAAAAAAGCATCGCAAAAGCACTGTACCTTTCGTACAACTGTCACTCCAAGATCATACTTTCTAACTTCATGGTTTCAAGCATTTGTCTCCTCACCATTTTTGTCTTTTCTCTACTGATGACGAAATGAAGCTTCCTCCCTTCGGTTTTATCAGTCCCTCCTTTCCAGCTTCAAGACTTTATGGTGTACAGCGACACCATGTGGCCAATGTGGATTTGACATCCATTCATTTGTCTTTCAAAGTAGCTTCTGTATGGCGAAGTACTCAAAACAATCATTTATAAATTTCGTAGTTTGAAGATCCAAGGCAGTTTGAATATCATTTGCGAGTATGTAATCCAATGTTTTTATTGACCTATAATCGTAAAGGCAGTACAATTGGGTTTGAGAAAATTAAAGATATGCTTTAATCGTCTCTTTATCATTGTATTTAGTAAGTGGGGCATGATAGTGCATTCCTTTAATCCCAGCACTCAGCGTGAAGGCAGAGGCAGGTAGAACTCTAGGGTCTACATCGTGAGTTCCAGGTCAGACAGAGATAGAGAAATCCTGTATGACAAAAAAAAGTAAAAAAGATTTATTGGCTCACGAATTTCAATTACTAGATAATCATAATTGTAACTGAAGTTTTAACTTAAAACTTTTGATCACTAAAGTCTACTTTATTCGAAGACAGCTTGGTGACATATTTATAAACTATACGATAATTTATATGTAGATTTACAAAATGATAGCTACCAAATACATATTTTTGATAATTTTAGAAACACACTTAATATTTCTTCACTGTGAACAACTTCATATTCTAGTACTGTAAATGTTAAGTGAAGATATTTGAGGATATAACTTTGCTATTTCTTACAACATAATGTCCCATTTGTTTTGCTTTTTAGTTTTTGTTTGATTGTTTTTGATTTGTTTTGTTTTTCAGGCAAGATCTCAGTGTTTGTAGCCCTTACAGAACTCACTGTGTAGACCAGTCTATGTAAGTTTGAGGCCATCCTGATTTATTTAGTGAGTCACAGGCTAGTCAGGGATGCATAAGTGAGACCATCTCAAAAAATTTAACTGGGTTATTTGCAATAATAGAACCTTTAGTGTTCACTAATAAAGGTTTCTGAGACTATTTCATCACCAAGGCCATTTCTTTTGTTATTTCCAATATATCTGAAATTCAATACAATACAAAGGTTCATCAATGAAAAAGAAAGTCTTAGTAAATAAGTAGCTGATACAGGTAACAGAAGAAATTTTTGAAATAGGAAATACAATAACCATCATGAAGTGATTCATATTTTTATATAATTTTATTTACTGTGAGTAGTCACCACCTACACTGTAACTCTTATGTATGTGCATCAAATGGGTCTGAAGTCCTTTAGAGTCACAGTATCCATGGAGCACTCATTTCAGGACACATCCCTCTCCCTTAAGTTGATTACCATCTATAGATGCTCAAGTCCTTCATAAAAAAATGGCACATAACTTGTATGTGATTATGCATGCCCTCCAAATCACTTTATATAACCTCTGAATTACTCACAATATCTAAGGATATATAAAAAATGTAAACAACTGTTATACTGAATTGCTTAAAAAGCAAATCCTTCACATGTTCATCACAGATACAATGCTACAAACTTTTCTATCTACATTTGGTTATTCTCATGGATGTTGAACCCACTGGTATAGAGAATTGTGTATACACATTTATACATATATATATACATATATATATATATATATATATATGTATATATCTTGGTGTAAGCCTAAGCATGAAAGTATACAGATCTCCCCAGACCTATGTTCTCCCAAGTTACAAGAAACTGTAAAGAAACTGTAAAATAACAACTGCTTTAATGTCTCTGAAAATTGTCTCAAGGGTATAAAATTCTTCATTCAAATTCAGTTACTTCAGTTAATTATTGAAAGTGTTTCAAATAGGGCAACAGAAAGAAACCAACAAACACATCACAGAAATAGTCTTGAAAGTTATGGGGGGAAAGGTAAGAAATGCTTTTAGTCTCCAGTAGTTGAACCTATGAATGTGAGTATTCTTAAGAAATACTGTACAGGGCTGGAGAGATGACTCAACAGTTAAGAACACTGACTGCTCTTTCGGAAGACCTGAGTTCAATTCCCAATATCCACATGGCAGCTCACAACTATCTGTAACTCCAGTTCCAAGGGATCCATGTCCCTCACACAGACATATATGCAGGCAAAACACCAATGCACATAATATAAAAATAAATAAATTATTTTTAAAAAAATACTCAACAATTGAACTATATTTCTAGCCTCACAAAAGAGGAACTTCTGCAGTAAGAGTCAGAGAACAGAAGCTGTATGCTTAAAAGTGTCATGTTTATACCTTATATGGGAACACAAATAATAATAATGTGAAACACTAATTTAATTAATCTTTATCAATAAAAAATTGGGAGTCAAATATTGAGGTAAGAACCTGAAAGATCAGAGAAGCAGGGAGCAGCCGCCAATTAATTCCTACCTCTAATGTTCCTCCACCCAAAAGGGGCCAAGATCCTCTCTCAGGCCTGCCTTACTACTTCCTGTCTCCTCTCTGCCTAGAGTCCTTCAAACTTCTATAGTTAATTTTGGTCAACTAGTAGCTAGCTCTGCCCTCTGACACCAAGCAAGCTCTGTTATGCCCAAATCCATGGGTCCCCACAAAAGCCAACAAAGGAGACCGAGTCCCATAAGTAAAAGCAAAGAGCCTTTATTTTAATCAATGTTGCAAACTCACTCTCTCTGCATGACCAATGAATTAGAATATCCGGAGAGCCCCAAACTCAATTAGAATAGAGTTTTATAGTAGTAAAGGTGGGGGTGAGGAGTTTCTGAGGTTTTAAGACCCCTGATTGGCTGACATTCTTCTAGGGTTTCCTGGTGACTGTGCTTTGGCAGGTATTTCTATCTACAGTTCATGGAATGCCAGGAATTTCCTTTGAATGGTCCTCTTCTTGGGTAGGGGGGTCTGGTGATCTCAGCTTGTGTTTTCTCCTGCGGCCCAGCGCCATTGGCCAAAAGCAGCTTCTTTATTCATTAACCAATGAAAGCAACACATATATAAAAGGACTTCCCACACCATTTCCCTTTTTCTGTTTAAATAAAAAGAAAGGTTTTGTCTTTAACATAGTAAAATTACATATAACAAAACAGGTATCAAGCAAGAATTACAGTTACAATATTTATACCTACTCTATCTTTTACCATAACCAAGGAAAACTATAATTATAATCATCTATTCTTCAACTCCATCGAAGACTCCAGAAAGATATAAGGTTACCTACATTAACGGAAAATGCATTGTAAGCAACTTACAAAACTCTAGAATTGACAGAGACATCTCACTGCCTGGATAGTCACACAAAGTTCTTCTGTATCATTGGGGCATTTTCAGCCTACAGGTCCATAATATCCAGCAGAGTTTTCTATGAAGCATGAAATTTGAAGTTCTGTTCTGCCTTGTAATGTCAAAGTCCATCAGTTGCTTTTTTCTGTGGCCTGCAGAATGTCTGGCAGACTCTTTCATGGTGCAGAAACCTCAAAGGACCATCTCACCTTTAGGCAAATTCAGCAGTCATTTCTCTGTGGGTCCTGCATGAACAGTTTATACAGTATAACATCAAGCAGTCTAAGCAAGAGCAGTTTCTTGGCCAAATGGCTAGCAAACTCCATAAAGACTCGTTGGTGCCCATCTTCCTCTTGAAGTTATTGGTGTTGCCAGGAGCAAATGTGTTTCGCTTTCATGAAAAGTCTTAAGTTCTTAAACATTTTAAATGCCATATTCTATAGTCTCTGAAAGATTTGAAGAATGCCTAACCATCTGAAATACATCTCTGTACATCTAGAAAATCTCACTAACATGACTAAAAGCTTGATTATTATAGATGATTATTTATTTTAACGTTTATTTATTAATTATACTTTACATTTTTAAATGAGCTGGATAAACACAATACCTTAATCATGAGCAGAAATACATATACACAGTATAACAAAATTGTCCTTAAATTTGTATATATAGACCAAGATCCATACCAATGTAAACTATTCATATCCATAGCATATACTCCTTTAAATGTAAACAAACATTTGTAAACAATAATTTAGGGAATTTGGGCATAGTTCTCTCCAAACTGCTTCCTGATTTTTATTGGGTGAGGGAATTTTTGGGGTGTTCTTGGAGAACTTTTGGGTAGTCTTGGTCCATAAAACCACATTAGTATGGAAGAAATCCATAGGTTCTCATCCTCTGTGGAAACAAAAGAAGAACCTCTTTTCCAAAGCAACAAATCCTTACACCCAAATTTTGGAATCAAGATACTTTTAAAATATGTATGCTAATTTATTTTAGCAGCCCATACAATGAAATGTCTCTCTGTACTTATCTCCTTCACAGTCAGAAAGTTCAAAGAAAACACAATAATATACATAATCCACTCTGTGTATATTCCATCTTTATGTGGCTTATTTTTCTTTACTGTTATTACTTTTTCTACAAGTTTATTGTCTCTTTAAAGTCATTGCTTTATTTTTAAAACCATTTACTTCTTTTTTTATAACTCTCTACACTTGTTTTTTTTCTCTCTCTCTCTCCCAAGCCTATGTATGTTTTTAAATACACAGCGTCTCATTTAGAGGTCTTTTACATCTGAAACTGTCCTGTTATGCATCTGTAATCCTTTTCTGGCCAGGACTGCTTCTTAAAATGCTAAAGCAGTTTGGTTGGGACCAAGGCTGCTTTGCCTTTTCTCCACCCAGTCCATCATGGCAGAGGTCCCTTCACTGCCTCTGAGACTGCTAAGTAGAAGCCATCCTCACCACCTCAATTCTGAGAACCAGTTGGCCAATGCTACCACCAAGTAACTTGCAGCATGCTGTCCACAAATCCCATTTAAATGCTTGACCTCCTAAAAGAGTCAGAGTTCACACTGGCAGCACAGCCTAGGAAGCCTCTGCTTCAAAATTGCACCTTTTTTGT